CAAATGCATTTGCTTAAAGATTAAAGTAAAAATATGTTTCCATATATCTTAAATGTATTATTGTGCTATACTTTAGCAATTAAAAAAGACCTTCATTTTGTATATGTGGACTGTTCTTACTGCTGGCACACATTCCTCTGGATTTTATGCATTTTTCTACTTGGAGAGCATTCACTTATACCTTTTTGTTTTCTTACTTAATTTTGAGTGTGATACATTTGGTTTGGTTTAATTCCAAATGTCCTCAAACCTCACTTGGTGTTGCATTTGCACGATCACGTTGGAAAATATTTGACTTTTGTCATTTTTAACCTTTTCACTGTATCTTACCCTATTTGCCATTCACACACCCTAATCTGTCCTCATGGAAGACAGATTCTCCTGCAAGCTAGGTACTCATCTTTATCTTGGCTGCAGTGCTATGGCCACCAATTGATGTCCTAATAGAAGTGGAGTAATTGAATAATATACCCAGGTAATGAATTTAGCACGTTTGGTCTGAGACACCCCTCTCACACAGACAGTTATTATCTACTCAAAGATCCTGGGGCCAGAGTTGCCAATTACACGCCACACAACTCTCCAAACCAATGAAAGGAAGACAAAAAAACGAAACAACTGCCAGCCATTTTTGCTGCCTGCCTCAGAAGACCGGCACCAAGCCTGCGTGTGTGACAGAAAGAGCGAGAGAAAGAAAGCGAGATTGAAATGAAACAATCCTCTCCTTATGTCAAATCAAATCGGAACATTCTTGCCATTTCGCACCGCCTAGCCTATATTCTTTGGAAGGCTTAGGAAAGGCAATCTAGTCTTGCTGCAGGCGCTGTGGATATAAAATCGCTGCTCAGCCCGAACCAATTCAATGAGTCAATTCCCCCGTGCCTCTGAATGGGGAATGTTATGAGAATACTTGCCCTTATACTTAACAAGGTTAGGCATTTTTATTATTCCTTCTTAAATAGTCTGTGTTTTAGCTGGAACGGGAGAGATCTCGGGGGTGCCCACCTCGCCTGCTCAGGTGTCGCTCCTCTGGGGGCTTCGGCCTCCCCCCACACGGTTCCCCCCGTCCACCACAGAGAGGCTTGTGTGGTTCTGTAACAGGATCGAGACGCTCCGGCCAACCAAAACAACGGAAAAACCCTAATCCAAATGTTACTGTCCGAACAGATAATTCAAATTCTTATTTCTTTCAACCATTATTTGGCTTTCCAATCTGAGTAGACTATTGTGTCAGAGAACTATGCAGAGGGATTTTCGGGGCAGGAGTTGGTATGCTATTCTTTGATCGTATCAGAGGAAAGTGAGTGTGTCTGAGGAGAAATGTGAGAGTTTTTCTAATTAAATTAAATTGATTTTCAGTGTGAAAACTGACAAGAAAACATCTCGTCTTTATTAAAAACCAGGTTTGCAAATGTAAAGCAAATGGAAGACAGCTGAATATATATGGTCCGGTGGCCTATAGAGTGGATTATTCAAGAAAAATAAGTCTTAAAAACAACATGGCACTTTTTGGGACGGCTAACTTCAACATTTATTTGGAGTGTGTCGTTGGCTGTTTGGAATTCAAAGGTACATCCCTTAACATTTTAATGAAATCAAACCCAATTTTTTATAATCAGAAAAAAATCATCAGATTGATAATGAAAATATACTTTAGTTGCGGGCCTCATCACATAAACAATCACAACTAAATCATTCATTTTTTTTTTATTACACGCCTCAGTCTAAACGCAGACAAGCTGTTTTTGCTGTTTCTACGTCGCATGAATAAATTATCTAAAAAAACGCTCAGACTTTCCCCATAGAACACCATCTGCCTTACATGCATTCTTTTATTCAAAACACCTCTGGCCCAACACACACAAACACACACACACACACACACACACACACACACACACACACACACACACACACACACACACACACAACCTACTCATTCCCCTTTATGAGTCGGTGCCTTTGAACTCTGAGGACCCACAGATTCGTCACAGCTGAGGTTGTTTTCTCCCTCCTTCCTCCACCCTCCACGGTGCAGCTGAAGTAACTGCAGTCCACTTGTTGCCACGATCCCTGTCTGCACCTGTCAATCAAACTCCCTGAGGTATCACACGGTGCACCCCCGCCCCTCTAAAGCACCGCCCACTCCCACCACCCTCTACATCATTCTGACGCCCCCTTAACTCCGCTTCCACCGTGGGCCCCTCACACCCCAACCCACTGGCTGACTGATGAAATGCTCAGGCAGGTGCAGGGGGCAGCTATCTCAACAAGCCAACAAGGACCCATAAAAACTATCCTTTGGTCATTTCTGTGCGATAGATAAATAAAAAAAGTGTTCTTAGGAAAAAAAAGTCAGTTTACTCAAAACAAGGCAGAAAAAGAAATACATGATTGATTGTTACGTTATAAAATATACTCCATGCAAACGCACACATCCTCCCCTTGGTTTTTCCCCATATAATAATGCTGTCCCCCCCCCCCATTGGTTGCTGTGCATTGATGCTACTCAGCTGGCATGTCGTAAAAACGCCACTGAAAAATCTTAGTTTCCTTTGCTTTTTTTCTTGTTTTTCCTCCTTTTCTGGTACAATAACAGGGACTATAAAAATGTCCTTTTAACTCTGGTTGTTTGTTGGAGAGGGTTCATTGGTCAGATGTATGTAAGGAGCCTGGCAGTACTCATAATAAACAAAAAACAGAGTCTAAATGGTCACTGAGATGTGGAGAAAGGAGCCAAAACACACGTTTGTTTGAAACCCGCTCTCAAATCAGTAAAACCAAGATATCCTCAGTAGCCCCTAAATGATTGGCAGTGACCGCTCTGATATTCAAGGTTTGAAGCTCCACTTTTTTAATAACTTTCATGTGTTATTCCCAGCTTAGATATGCAAACTTTCCAACACATATATTTGTTTAACTTGAAGTAAATCAAAACCAAATCAGTTTAACATGTCTTTATAGCTCTTACAATGAGAAGAGAAATGTTCCGTGATACACTTTGGCGACCTTGACATATGCAAACCAGCAGGCCACTTCATTATGATCTATTATGTCTCTTGAGCTTTTCCTCAGGTTTATGTGCTTTCTGCTCGAGCGTAGAGTGGAAATGTGATCTGGAGCAAAGTAAACACAGGTTGAAACGACAGCGGCAACGATTCTTCCTGCCTGGCTTCATGTGATGTTTAGTGGCACATGGCGAGTATACAGCTGCACCGCCATGAGGAGTTATGTCATGGGCCCTGTGCGTGCTTACATGTGCAGTTTCATGTGCTTGGCTTGCAGGATCACAGGAAAGAGGCAGATTGTATGTATTTTAGGAATGTGATGGAACTGCATAAATGATACTCCTCCTGTTGGTGGTGACCATAGTAAGAACAGTATCTTGACTGTTGGGGATTGGCACTCAAATATGCTCCAATTGCAATTATGGGTGTTTCCCATTATCAACTATTGTCATAACCAATTAATGGCTTGAGCCACATTAGCTGGTTTTGCAATCACTTCCTGCTTGTCTTGTTCTTTTGTTTGCCAACTCAATTATTTGTGTTTCAGATTGAATTGTGTTCGAAATGGTAAAAAAAACAAAGTGAAGACGTCCCCATGGACATTAATTTAATACATTATAGAGTTAAATATTTGATTTAATTGTGAAAATAATAAGCAGATGAATTGATAATTAAATAATTCCTTTAGTTGTAGCCCAAGTAATAGAAAAAAGGAAGGGTAAAATATTAAGGCAAGGATAATTATATATGTTTATAAACTTTACATAAAATGTACTTATATGTAGACACTTTTGTTAATTTACAGGCAGATCATTAGACAGTATTTTCGCAGCCATTGTTGGGAAATACTTTACCCTGATAGCTTTAAGAAGATAAATGTAAACCTTAATTTAACCTTATAAAGTGTGGATGGTGAAGTTGGCTCCATGTGGTCTTTTTCAGCGAATAAGAGTTTTTTTCTTTACATTTTCTGATGTTTTATATTATTTTGTCTATTACTTTCACCAAACCGAAACAAACATTTCATATTTTATGAATCTGTTCCCCACGGTTACCTCAGGTGATCCGCTGAGTCGACTCCACTGCAAAACATCTTCTGCCCTGAAGACTAACAATTGGTTACGATTACTAATGAACCTCTCTCATATTTAATCACAAGTAGTCACTCCAGGGGGCCAATCGGTGTTACCACATGTGTAAACATTCACCATACTCTAAAATCCAATATTCAGCACATTATCTTATTAGGAGAAGAATTTCAGGGACATTTCCGTGGAATTCAGGAAGATCGAGGATGAGCCCGCAAGCAAAAAGTTGCGTAGGAGAATCTCAGCCTAGAAGGGAAGTTAGCTGACTTTGCAACGGCTGTGGAACCACTGCACAGATTAATTTACTTTGCAAAGACAAAGCATATCGCAAATGTAGAATCAGGACAGTTTTTTAGATATCAGGACAGCACTACAATGCAGTTGAATTTGTTATAGATCTTTTCAACCTTTCCTAAAAATGTGATAATCTATAGGTCCTTTTTCCTACTTTCTACCAAATAGTTAGTCTCTATATTAAACAAATTGTAAGCGCGTTTAAAGTCATGTTGCTGTGCGCAATATGTATTAAATTCCCTTCATGGCCATTGTATTGAGATGATGACATTTTTTGGAAATAATACCATAACTAAATTTGAGAGTTTATAGGTGTGTTTGTTGTAATTCGGGCGACTCGATTAATTTTAGCAGCAACCAAAAAGTTACTGGCAGTGAAAGAGACACAAATAATTGGTGAGGGAGTTACATCCTGAGCCATGTATTGTCAGTAGCCTCCCACATATCACTAATATCCGCTTCATGTTGTACTCTGACCCTGGCTGCCTAGTTTAGATAGTGATGATGATAGAAAGGCCCGGGCGCGCGCGCGCGTGCGTGCGTGCGTGCGTGCGTGCGTGCGTGCGTGCGTGTGTGTGTGTGTGTGTGTGTGTGGTTGGCATTCAGCAACATGCCTCACAGGGATGCCCACCTGGCTGGCCTTTGCTCTGGCTCTGTGCTGCTGGGTAGAGGCGAGATAAGCCCTGAGAGGCAGCCCTCAGGGCCTGACAGAGACGCACTTCCCTGGAAGGAGGCTCCGGCTCTTATCAGCCTGATAAGCCCACACAGGAAACGGTGGCTCCGGGACCTGGTTGAACGGGAAGAAGAGCGTCAGCTGGACTCGGGGAGGCAGACTGTGATCTGGTTCTTCATAAAGTGCTCGCTGTAACCTGTTTTGATAGGCAGAAAGAGGATTGACATTCTGCTGTATGTACAAAACCCAACACACATCTAGAACTTAAAGTAATGCACCAAACAACAATATTGGTGATAGTACAGGCTAATCATTCCATTCTGTTCATGTCAAAAGACCATATTATACCATACTTGGCGAGAACATATCTTTAGATCACCGTTGTTTTTGTATTGATAACAGATGTCGAGTAGTGAGCGACCTATGACTTAAGTTGCCAGTTCTTCTGGAAAGTGATAACTAAAAGCTAGAATAAGGACGACCTCCGTTATCACAATTGATGAACATAATAAGCATCACTGAGGAAAAGGGGTGGACGGTGGGGGGGGGGGGGCATTTCCCAAAGAATAGATGAAATGGATCAATTTCACTGCAAACATTAAGGACACTGTCATATCTGAGTAAATATATGGACAGGACATGAAGTCAGTCAAGAAAATGTATACCTAGTTCCTATAGTTTGTATATTTTACAAAATATAGGGCAAAACAAACCTTGTTCTTCAAAAAAAAGCTGAGACAGACAGAATGGATGCCTTGAAAACTTGTATTCTCTGCTTTGTTATATATATTAAGTTATTAAGGTCATATATTTCCAAAATGACAGAAGCTCCCACCTCACATCTTCATACCTGTCCTGAGTCATAAAGATCATTTCAGTAGAACCTAGAAATTGAATATAATACCATACCAAAATACCTAATAGCTCGACAGTAGCCAAATCCCCCTTGCCATTTTGCATTTGCTTTTCATCAACTGCTAAAGAATGGCAGGGTTTTTAGGAGAGAATGAATGGAGATCCCAAAATTGGCTGGCCTGTCGGCAAGACTCGGATAAATATGTCAATTATGATTGTTTTCAGGTTAGAACGGCCAAGACCCACAAGTATTTGGGGCATTTTCCTTCAATGATTGATAATGGCATTGTCTGCAGTTGTTGCGCATACTTTCATACCAGGCATTTCCTTTGTGCACATGCACGCAGGAAAAGTGGTGCAATCGATAAGGTATGAGATCTTTATTTAATCAGCAGAAGGATACAGAAACTGAGGTTGACAGGGACTCCGGGCCAGGCCAACAGCACATGCCTGTACTCCAGAATACACATGTTTGGCTGCGATAAATCATCGTATTAGAAGATGTCATGGGGTGAGCATCACTTTCACAAAGCAGTTATCCACTTTTTTTTGACATTTGAAATTAGAGCCAGACCTTTATCCCAGTAGCAGACAAGAGGAAGCAAAGAGAAAGGTGATAATGATGAAGATAAATAGTAGGAAGTGCATAGAGAGGTAAAGAACAAAATGAAACAGATGAAAAGTGGAACAGGTGTACAGGGCAAAGAAAGAGACATTTTCCAAGGTAATGAGCTGAAGCGACTGTCTGTATTTGATCCTAGATACTGTGTGTATTGTAACTTAAAAACACTACAATGCTGCGTCTGGAAGTCTCCTCTATTGCTGTTTTTCAGATGCCAACAGCTAATGCAGTGGTACATCGCTATGACGACGGACGCCAAGTGCTTTCCACTATTTCCACCTGCAACAGACTCAGTGACTCTTTCCTAGCTTTGGGATGCAGTCACGTGTATAGTCCCTCTTTTTATTTGACGTCTAGAGTTTTCCATTCAATGGCTCCAAAGACGGTTCTGATCCGCATTCAGTCTGTTGACATAAACAATGGTTGAAAAAACATGTCCTATAGAATGCATCGCATAGACACAGAAGAGCAAACAAAAGATATCTGTAAATGGAAAATGCCTGAATACATAGATGTATTAGTCAGTGGTGATGGCCCTTTTGCTTATGATAACCTGCCTAATAGCATACACATGTATGTTAAGTATAATTATTACTCTGAATAAATATTCATGTTGTGCATTTTGTAACAAACTTCAAGGGTGCCATTACAAAAATATTTTGTAGTGTTTCGCATTAATGTTTTATTTTGCATGTGGACTTGTTAAACAGATAACTTTAAGTATTGGTCTCAGAAACACATCATTGATTTGGCTGTTATTAATATGAGATGTATAGTTATAGTACTAGTAGATGGAGATACAATTCAGTTTTGGGGGTTTTCCCTTTACTGTAGTGTTTTATAGCTTTTTGTGAATGGTCTGCAAAGGCTAAAATCCCAACGTTTCCTTTGTTTACTTCCACAACATAATGACATCACTATGTTACACTTGCGCTGCCATTGGCTAGCACTTTTACAAATTGTCCGTGATATGCTAAGGGGAGGGACATCTCTAAGTAGTTGACACATTTTTACAGAGCCGGCCAGCTAACCAATCAGAGCAGACTGGTCTCTGGTTTCAGACAGGGTGAAAAGAGGTGCTGCAGCACAGGCAGTATGAGAAAAATAAAGAGCCTTTTGAACATTAAAGCATGGAGACATGTCATATGAACCTGATAATTAGCATTATATAATAACCAAATTCACGGGGGTCATTACAACAACATTTGGTAATGCAGTGCGTCTATGTTGTATTTTTTAAATGTGTCATTGTAAACCTGATAAGAATATAAACTTTGACCTAAAATCTATCATTGATTAGGCTGATATTAATATTAGAGGTATAGTGGTTATAGTAGGAGTAGAGTAAGAAATTGTAAAAGTAAGGCCAGGAAAAGTTTTTTTATTTGTTTCCATGTTCTAGGAGACACGTCCTCTCCTGCAAATTCCCTAATTACAGAACAACCCCGTTAGCAAAGTTTCCAGTCGAGGGATTCTACTGTGGATTTCCCTTTTTTCCTATAAAGCCAAAGCTGGTAATTATTCCCCTCGGCCATTTTTGTACTCTTGTTTTTCACCTTATAACCAACTCCCTGCACACTCCCTCCCTCCCACTGAGGCTCTCTACAGTATATGAATAATCATAAGTAAATAAGACTCGAAAGAAAAATCTGTGAAAGGAATTCCTGAGGAGATCCCGGGGAGCTGTTGACCTACTCTGCACTCCTCTGGTGCTTTTTTCCACACTCAGCACATCTTTCATCGCTGCGATCTTGTCATATGAAGTGCTTCTGCATAGAATAAATTCAACATGTGCAGTGGAGAATTCTAGGCTTGTATTCCGAAATAATCAATCAATTAAACCTCTTGATAGGAAATGTCAGAGCTCACTTTTTGGTGATCCAACACAGATATGTCTCCAAAGGCTGTCATGTGGAGCCGATGCTGAGAAAAGCAGCATAAGACTTCAAAACCCAGACCTCTTTCTCTAATCCTCCGATCGGTGGTGAGCGAAGTCATCTTATCTCCGGCGGCTTTAGTATATTCCCTCGTGTGAATTTCATCCAAGCTAAGGGGGTATCTGTAAATCTTCTTCATGTTTGGGTTTGTCTACGGGAGGCTCGCTGGCTCTGTAACTTTGAATCGCCTTCTGAGAAACATCCTGAGAGCTTTGAGGGCTCTTAATAATGACAGGTAGAGGGATTCAGCTTCCCTCTCCATTTACCGAGCAACAGAGCTAAACCACAGCAGGTATTTCATAAAAGGATTTCCTTACCTAAGCTATCATTAAAATGCTTTTACAATCATTTCAGATGACATGTTTTTTAAATGATTTATCCAAAGGTGAATTTTCACTTCTCAGGTTTTCTGTTTCCTTGCTACTTAATAAAGGAAAACTGCTGACTTTTCATTTTTACACTTGTATTAATAACAGGCGAGGCATGTTTAATGTCCACAGATTTGGACAGTGTTTTTTGCTCTTCTGCCATTGACTGACGTCATATTTCCTGTCAATAGATGACGGAAAAAGGAGAAGATGTCTGGTTTTCCTCTGTCTTTCATGGGGAGCGGCTCAGTCCACAATCTGATTTTTGGTATGCCAAAATGGCCTCCCAGTCTATATCCAAAGGGAACTTCAGAAATAATTACTTTGAAATTGTACTGTTTGTCATCTTGTACATATGGCTGCTACAATTCACCATTGAGGTGGAACAAAGTAAGGTAAAGGTTGGTGATGAAACACACCTTAACTGAGAACCATTTAGAATGAGCCATCACACAGCAGCACAACTGAGCATTGTAACAAGCAGGATTTACAGCACAATCAAAAAATGTACTGTTTTAATTGCCCAAAAAATACAAAGTTTACAACATAAAGCGCAACTTGTTTATTAAGATTGACAACAATCAAATAGATTAATAAAAACATATACAAAATGCAGAATAATTTATAAATAAATTAACAAAAAAAGCAAAACGCTCCTTCCCTCAAACATTAACACACGCAGACTCGCACATACATATTTGGAGCATTTACTGTTGGGTACCGGCTAGGGCTGCTTGATTATGGCAAAAATCATAATCTGGATTATTTGGGTCAATAATTGATATCACGATTATTAAAAACGATTATCCATTGACTAAAAAAAAATGTGAACAGTATGTTTGTAACAGTTGATTACCCTGAACTTTAAGTATAATTCAACTGCAAAACCAATAAAAAAATGAATATATCAATAATATATCAATTCATTTATTGATAATATATCAATAAATCAATAATTGTTTTATTTCGATTATGTTTTCATAATCGTTGCAAGCCAAAATCGTAATTGCGATTAAAATATGATTAATTGAGCAGCCCTAGTACCGGCACTCCATCAATGCAGTCAGAAAATAATAAGACCAATAACTAAAAAAAGCATCCCCAACACAAGCACATGGCAACTCACCAATACATCCACCCTCACAGGGAAATGGAAATAATCTATAAATTCACTTACACACAAAGAGATGATTAAATGAGGAAACCATTTACAAATATCTTTAAGGGAATCAGTTGCAGAGTGTCAGTTGTTTAAACTAGTCTCACTAGTCCCATTAGCTCCAGGAGTACACAACTTTAGATAAACAACACCCAGAGAAGTAAGAACACATTGTCAGGTCATAATTGATTGAGAAGGCATCACATTTATTTTTTAAACAG